TCCTCTCCATCTACACTCCATTAATGGTGGTGGCTTGGACCTTCTCTGTTGTCATAGCGCCTTGTGTCCTCAGTCAGCTGGGCAGGGCCTGGAAGGCAATTTCAAGGCAATGGAGGCCATTGCACCTGTGTTTGACAATCAAAATGAGTAGGGGACTGGTGGACAAGTGGGGAATGCACAGGTGGGTAGCTATACCAAGCACAGACCAAGCACATGCCGCAGACGAGTGGTTAGTTGATGGGATTGATGAGCCACCAGGGATGTCAAGCAAGGAATCCGGCGGAAGGCGATTTTACAAAATTTACAGTACCCCTGTAAATTGGTATGGATAAAGTGACTTCTCACGGAAACCTTATCAGTCTTGAGAGGACATCTGAGATATGGAAATTTCGGCAGTCTGGTGTGCCAAACTTGTGCAAATGGCCAATCAATGACTTTCTTCCTCAATCCTTCCTCGCAGGTGTCTTTCTTTACCCACTTCATTATTAACCTCAAGTATTGGCAATGCATCAATAAACCGGACGGAGCACAACAAGCGGTTGGAGTGTTTTTCAACCAAGGCTCTGAAGAGCCCTTTGACGGCAGCAACTTCACTGAACACTCACACAACTGTATCATCATCAACTTCGATGTGGACAGGTTATGGAAAGGACATGTCCAATGGTGTCAAGTCCACATGGATTCCCCCCCTGCCTCCCTCCCACTTCCACCTCTTCACCCAACCCCTCACACATCCAATCCCCACACCATATATCCATGTCTGCATTGAAAGCTGACACTGTTATGGTGATTCAGGGGAATGGGCTACATTGTTGATATGTCAACAATGGAGAGTATACCGAAAGCTGTTAGGCCTTTGGAGAGGGAGCTTGGGAAAGAGAGTCAGAGGCTTTGGGAGAGCGCTATGGATAATCTGGTGAAGAGGGAGTTTGGGGAGGCGACGAGGGAGAAGTTTGGGATCGAGCCAAGGCAGAGGGATGAGGTTGCTGACAGGAAGAGGAGGATTGAGTGTTTTTTTTTTTGTCAGGGGGTCTTCATCCATTTGAGCCTCGCAGATGAAAGACTAATGTACACTGAATAATGGCACCTCCAAGAGCCGAAGCCTGAAATGAATATCTAAATGGTTGTGAATTCCCAACGATGCAGCTGACAAATGCATCCGCTGGATGGTGGACAGGCGGAAATTCCAAATCTGAGATTCTTTGAGTCTTGACATGCTTGACAATTGACACCTTTTCACAAGAAAAAGATATCTTCTACTACTTAGACTGTCTTATCTGCAATTGAACTGGCGAATTGGACCCCCTCAATTTGGCAGTACTATCACTGGTGGGAACTTTGCAAGAACATCAACTTTGCAAATCTGTTTCATTGACAGTCCGAGTTACTTCTACAAAGGACATATTTTTATAAAACTACACTTCAGGTAGTCATACATCTAGTCTATGTATCCTAGCTATCTCGACAATTGTCAATGAAACGGTATTTGCAAAGTTGATGCCTTTGCAAAGTTCCCACAAGTGATAGTAAAGCGCTACTAGTAAAGGCTCACAATCCATTCGGGCTTCTCAGCTCTGGCAGCCGTATCATGTTTGCGCACCCTGTGGTCGGCGTCCCGCTGTTCGCCACCCCAATGTACAACAAGCTCGGTAGTATGGGAAGCTGGAAGGGAGACCCCGTGCTCGCATGTATGTGTATAGCGCTTGAATGCCCTGCGTATGTTTTTTTCTTCCTCTGCGGCGTGAGTCTACTAACTCTACCAAATTCTTCTTGTTGTGGAAGTACAGCCTCAGGCGGGTATACGCGCACGATTCTCCGCAGCAGCATCACCCAGAGGGACAACAAACCAGATAAAAAGGCAAGGCTAGCCGTGGAGTGAAGTCTTGCATGTGTTAGACTTGTATGGATATGGGAGTGA